CTATTTTACCCCCAAGACTCGTCATTCAAGTCAAAAAGCCAAGAACCGATTATACCCTTATACCATATAATACATTATACTCCCGCGCGACCGAGCCTCCTTGAAATCTCTAAGACGCTGCAACAATGGAACGTCGGACCATTAGGCCGGGCAGAAAAATACCCCTTCCCACCCCCCTCAACTTCCCTCTTTCACCTCCTAAGAAGAAATCAGCGACCAAAAGTCAACTTTTGTAGACGTATGGGAGCTGCCACGCAGTACAATAACCCAAAGACTCTGCGAGTAAGTAGTCCTCCATCCTGGCGTATATATATATACATAGAGTTGTAACGAAGTAAACGAAGGGGGAGGGAAAACAATCGGTTCCACTGCGAGGGACGAATAATTGCATTCGTTTGCATCAGCCACAGGCCTAGAAAGCATAGAGGAGCGAAAAAAAAGGATGTATATATACGCCACCACTAATATACCGTAATGCGCGGCGAAGAAAGTGTGTGTGTGCTCTTTTACGGGGGGGAGAGAGAATCCATCTCGTCTCGCTATCTACCTTCACTCGCGTGGTGTCTTTTTATTCCGAAAGCCTTTTTTTCTGCGTGGGTATATGTATATATGGATTCATGGGTGCAAGGGAAAAGGCGCATAGCTCGGAAGATGACACGCGGACACCGGCAGAAATAGAAGAAGCTATTAGGAGGACGGGGATGGAAGCTAGGCGTATGGCTCGGTGCCGTCGGGTGGTGGAGGTGCACGAAACGCCGCGGCCGCGGTGCAAGAAAGAGGGTCGGGCAACAATCGCGCGCCTTTGGGTCTCGGCACGCGTGGTTGCTCGTACAGGAGCGGGAGAGCGGAGGGGAAAATAATTGCGAGTTCCGTCAGATAGGCAGTGGAGCGCTTTTTTTTTTTTTTTTTCGCGAGAGAAAGGGAAAATGTAGAGGTGCACGGGAGAGAAGGAAAAAAAAAGGGGAGGCGGGGGGTGCGCGCGCGCGCGAGGAGGGAGAGCTGGAAACGAGAAGAAAGAGAGAAAAATGGAGGAAAGGATGAGTGGATGGCTGGGTGGTGAGATCCAATTAAAAATATTACACATTACTCGCCCGTGCGGCCGCTAAAATGTGTTTACTGTTTAAGAATAGAAAGGGTTGCCGAAGCGCGCCGCACTTCACGAAACCACCTCTTTTCCTTTCTTTTTCTCGCATCCATACGTATACTCATACGCATATAAATTTCTTTTTTTTCCATAGCTTTCTGCAACCCATCTCTTTTTCTCTTTCATTCCGTCACTGGCGCGTAATATACTCTTAATCCCGCTTTTCCAAACGCGGTTTGGGGGTGGGGGGTTGGTATAAAGTTTTATTGACTCTCCTGTTGATATGCTAAGCTTGTGGTGTTGACGGGTGAATCAGAATCAATTTCTTCGATGAAGAAGAGGGGGAGTAGGGAGAGACAGAGGGTGTGATCCAACGACAGGGGGGTGCGCCCCTGCGGTATTTGGTGCGTTTGATTTGCTTGACTAATGGTGAGTGCTTGTTTTTGCTCGCCAATGCGATTTTTGATCGAGAGTTTGAGATTTTTTTTGCAATTTTACTTTTAATACTGGGCTTTGTCAATTTTTCAGTAAAGATGTTTCGAAACTCTGTTTGGATGGATATAATTATTGGGGTGGGATGATTGGGCAGTACTTGAATTGGCTCGATTGAAAGTGAGAATAATGAGACAAAGAAAATTTTGATTGAACTTCTACGAGTCTTATACTTACGAACTTTATAAAGAAAATCAGAAAAATGTATGTCGTGTGCAAGATGCATATAATTGTGATTGAAGCTTTGAGGAAAGGATAAAGAATCTATGGATGATGTGTTCATTGATTGTATAGTGGAAGTTGTAAAATGCCTAAGTTTAATCAATCATCCTACGACACTTTTTTATCCAAATTTTAATATCATTTTTCTTGAAAAACATAGGAAGCTTATCAACCCTTATGTGTCGTAATATTTATTTATTTTGTACAAAGCTTTGCTACCCTTTAGTAATAAATATTCTTGTATAAAAAAAATCTCTGCTATAACATTCCGTTGGCTGAATGTTCGATATTCATTGAAATTGATATTATCTAATTGATGGAATATTAATCAAAATTCATTAAAAATTTTTTTAGTAGTTTAGTACTAAGTAAAAAAAAAAGTTTTAAAAGGAAGAATTGTTGAATTAATGGTTTTTTGTATTGGAAATTGTTCTCAAATCATTTAATTCAAGTACTCAACTTATAAATTTAGTAATTCAGATCATAAAACATTCTCTTTGATAGAAAAAATTAATGCTGGGAACAACAGCAAAAACATTGGAGCATAATATTCTTAAAAGAGAAAAATTTTTATTATTTTCGAAAACAATGTTGATAAGTTCCGCAACGAACAGTTCATTATTTTTCTCAGATCAATAAAACAAAGATCATATTGTTTGTGAGAAGTTTTTGGTAACAGATTTTCTGTAAATCATATATTCTCTAAGGATATTTTACATTATTGTCATCCTTATGGAGACACTTCAGTTACAATCGTACCACATGCCAATTACAAAAAATCTTTAAAAATGTGCTCAAGGTACCTAATCCGATCTAAGGATCTCCTATAGAGAACCTCTATAACAGGGGTCACCGAAATTTCAGCACCCCTTACAATGCCTCCTTTTCCCATAAACCACCATAGACGCATACGCATTCTGAAACACCCAAAAAACCAATAGCCCGTAACTTCCTTCGGAAATGCACATCCGAGATGCAAGAGCCGTGAAATCCGTGCGTCGAGAATCGATAGCCAGCCACGATATTGAAACTGACATGTTTTCAAAAAAACACGCCAGCCCACGCGAGTCCTTTCATCCCCTCTTGCTCTCTTCCATTTTCGATTTCTCGGAGTTGGCGTATTATTCCCACGTGTCGCCTTTCCATACCTGTACTAATGAAAAAAAAAAAAAAAAAAAAGAAAAAAAATAAGAGACGTATCCCATCGTCTCGAGTTACACGTGTGTACACACATCATGTCAACGCGTCGTCAACAACCGACGTCGCGAGGAGCGAAAAAAATTTTGACTGGAGGAACACGAGAGCTGCCGCTCTCCATGCAGCGCACAACCCTTTCGTTTACGTGTGCTCGTGGATGTACGCGAGAGTGGTGGCGCGAGAGCAGTGAATGACGGCTGAAGAGGAAGGAAACCGGTGATCTCCGACGCTTCGATGAATTGCCGATTAAGATTGATGTGGGGATGTTTGGGTGGAAGCGATAGGTACGAGGATGGGTGAGATTTTTTTTTTTTTTTCACCCAGTTCGAATGAAATTGGATTTGAAGGATTGGGGCGTCGGGAAAGTCGGGGTTATGGCGGACGACTGCGTGCAAATGTTGTATGTTGTGCGAGGGAAGAGTGTGATGGAAGGTGTGAAAGATAAAATTGGATCTTTAAAGATTTGCACAGGCAATGGCAGCGAACCGAGTGAGTTGTATCGAAAAAAGGGGTTATGAATGTTTACCTATGGAGTTATTTGCAATTTTACTCGATATGCTGAGAGATGTTATACATTGCTGGATAGGTTGCATCATGGAGATACTGTACTACAGGTAGTATATATTTTTTTTTTCTTTTTATGTTTATTTTGGAATCAAGAGACTATTTTATAAATAATGAAAATGAAAGACAAAAAGTCAACTGAAATTTCAGGACTACATCTCTGTAGTTGAAATAAGTACAGTTGAAAAAATCAGTGTTTCAAATTTAATGTGTTTAACCTCTTTTTGTGAATAATTATTACTCTAATATATTCATTGTAAGAAAATATCAAAAGATACTATAAACCGTAAATATTTTTATTTTTAGTTGTTGGACAAATTAAAAATAATGTGGATAATGGTTGAAACTGGTGTAAAGTTGGAGATCAGAGAATTTGCTGTTTAGTTGTGTAAACAATCCTAATAAAAATTATTTTTAGTGTATAAACATTATCTTTTTTTAGATAAAGCCTTATGTATAACAAAATCAAATAAGGAATATTTACCTAAAGTATGTTACCCTTACAAAATCGTTATCATTATTGTAACACGAATTTGAAAACAAGAAGAAAATATCTTATTTGGATTTCCAACTAAATGAAAATTTAATTCCCTGAAGTTAGACTTTTCTACTGCGTAAATTCTTTATTTTACACTTATTACCTGGAAACTCAATCTTTAAATTCGAGGTAAAAACTGTACACTGAAGTTTAAATAATATTAAGCCCACGTTTGCACTTGAAGTATAATCTATTATAACGATACATAGTTTTATAAAAACTATCTTTTACTTTGAAAAAATTAAATGAAAGTTTAACGATAGTCCACATAAGACTCGAGACAAAACAGACTTACTTCATTATCAAACGAGATAAGATTGTCTGAAAAAACAATTATAAACGATAATAAAATATATCAATGAAATGATGTCATCTCACTGCGCCAAAATTAAAAAAAAAACTCTTGAGTAACAAAAACAAATTAGGTGAGAAAAGGCAAAGAGGTGACAAACAAACAAAAAAATTAATAGACTATAAAAAACTACGCGTATTTTGTGGTAACGGTACTGATAAGTATCAGTCAGAAAATTACTGCAAAGGATTTTAGTGAGTGAAGAAATCGCGTAAAAGAAGCTCAGGTTTGCGAAATTGTTGATGTTTTAAGGAGTTGTTGAGTTTCATAAACTTAAACCGTTGGTAATATTGTAAAGAAAAGTAACATTTATAATGAAAAAGTTGCAATACATCATTTTATGAACAAAATGAGTAAAATCTTATAAAAATTGACTAAAAAAAAAAAAAAAAAACTATGGGTAGGTATACCTTTAAAAGGATCAAAATAATAAAAAAATCAAGTGATTCATGAAATATTTTTTATTGTGTGTAAGTACCCGCCTTGGAAAAAACTGAAAAGCTCCTCTGATTCAAGGATCCGACACCCGATTAACCCTCATTTAACTTACATCACACTTGTCTGGCCTTTCTAATCTTCTCCATCTGGTAAAGCACCGCAATGGCCTCTTGACGCAAATGCAGCATAAGATCGTCGTCTCGACTAAAAGCTTGCTGGCACACAGAGCAGCAATATGGCACTTCGTGACTTCGCATGTGCACCCCAAGATAACTGGACGACGTAAAACTCTTTTGACACATCGCGCAACGATGAGGATTTTCTCCCTTGTGTCGCTGCACGTGCGTCTTCAAGTAGTCGGATCGTTTGAAGGCTTGCAAGCACACCGAACAACTATACGGGCGTTCATTCGTATGGGTAAACATGTGCGACTTGACCGCCTGGGAAGTCGTAAAACTCTTTTGGCACACCGAGCAGCTATGAGGTTTTTCTTCCTTGTGGCGCCTCATGTGCACCCCGAGTATACCCGAGGTGGCAAAACCTTTTTGGCACACCAAGCAACGGTAGGGCTTTTCCCCCGTGTGGGTCCTCATGTGTATTTTAAGGTACCTCGGAGTCGTGAAACATTTTTGGCACTCCGAGCAGCTATGGGGCCTCTCGCCCGTGTGGCGCTGCACGTGCAACTTCAAGTGGTCGGATCGTTTGAAGGCTTGCAAGCACACCGAGCACCGATAGGGACGCTCGTCCCTGTGGGTGCGCATGTGCACCGCAAGCTCGTTGGTGGCTGTGAAGCTTTTTTGGCACGCCGTGCACCGATGGGGCCTCTCGCCCGTGTGGCGCCTCATGTGCACCCCGAGTAAACCCGAGGCGATAAAACCTTTTTGGCATACCGGGCAACGGTAGGGCTTTTCACCCGTGTGGATTCGCATGTGCACTGTGAGGGAGCCCGAAGTGATGTAGCTTTTTTGGCACACCGAGCACCGGTGGAGCCTCTCACCCGTGTGGCTTCTCATGTGTATTCGGAGGGAAGCTGGGGTGCTGTAACATTTTTGGCACACCGTGCACTGGTGGTACTTTTTATCCGCGTTAGTGGACACGTGGATCGTTGGAGCCGTTTTTTGGATGACAGGTTGTTTGCATGTTTTCATGTGCCTCAAGAGAAAGCTAGAAGTATTAAAATCTTTTTTGCACACGTAGCAACGATGGTAAGGCTCGTCCATTTGGACAACGTAGACCAGACGAGAATTTTTTGGTAGCTTTGGATATCTTTATTATTCTTGTTGCTTTTGGTTTTCAGAGTAGGGATGAGTACTTGACTATTAACTGAAAAAAAATAGATCGATGTTACATGTACTCTAAAACGTAATTGTATGTTACGAGTACATGAAGATTCTCTGTCCATTTAAATGGGGATAATACCTAGATGTGATGATGTTGATACTTATGCTTTTAACAGCGAGTTTTGTATTCTTAACAGTAGTACTAGTCCTGAAACTCTGAGACATGCTTAAATAGTGACATAAACGTGAAACAAACAAAGATATAAGATCTAGGAGAGGATGTAAACGTCCTTAACTTAAAATAAGTCTTAAAATGTAACTTTGTACTATGTCAATCATCGACAAGTATTCGTACGATAAGTCGGTACCACAAGAATGAGATACCCTCACATTAGGATTTTTTTGAGTACTTGAATACAATGAGAAGCTACCTCTACAAAGTTTATCTGGGTAATAGTAAGATAGTAATAGCAAACATCTCACATTCCTTCTGTGAATTATCTCTTTTTCTGATACCCAGATGACGTTTTAATGAAACTTATTTTTCGTTAATCAAGAACATTTTTAACCACCAGTATTTTTAACATCAAGTAGGAGTAACTTTGATAGAAGAAATGTAAAGTTGCAAAGTATGCTAAGCTGTAAAAAAATTGTATGAACTTTACCACGAGATTCTAGGATGAAAACAATACGCATTACAAAATAAAATTAATTTTTTCAGCTATTACAATAGTAGAGCTGTATGGACAAAACTTTTTTTATAATAATAAATTATAAAATTAAGAAGTTAAAANTTTCTATAAGAAAAAAAATAATCAAAAGAAAAACATTGTTAACGATACAAAAAAAAAGGGATTCAATAACAAAATATTAACAAGTACAATTACGATCAAACGTGACGCACTTCAGAATAGTGTTGTTAATAGATTTTAAAGGACGTGAGACATGCAAGGTTTTAACAAACAAAAAAAGAAGTTAAAAAATTTTAGTATCTCTGTTATTAACGCTATCTCTAGAAACTTATACAAATTCCAACGCTGTAATAGTATTATCTTCTTTAGTGTAAGCTTAGCTGGCTACACTATTTCTGCGAATCGATATTTGAGTTGAACATTGACCAAATATGTTGCTTTGACAGGAGTAAGTGATGTGCATTAATGTTGGTACCCAATAAAAAGTAGAGTAATAACAGTTCAAAAAAGTGTTATTATCAGTCAAATATACGACAAACGATAAGAAATGTAGTTATTAAAGACATCATTGGGAAACAGAATTTCGTAGGTTTTTTTTTTTGTATACAACGTACTTTATCCACGTTAAAACAAGTTTTGAAATTTTCTCGGCCTATGTTTACTTCACGACGTACTACAGCTAAGAATTGTATTTTGTACTCAAAGGACAGAGAATAATACCAACTAACGTGCACACAATTACGAAAAAGTATTTTAATTTTGAATCTACTTACTTTTAAGTATTAGGATTCAATAATGATATTATTCTTAAATCAGAGTTTGCTTTTTTCTAGCCAATATCGAGCTTGCGAATAAGTAGGTGTTGTATTCTAACAGCTGAGAGATTTCTTTTTTTTTCACTTTCACCTCGTACGTTTAACTTAAGACTAAATCGAATGTGGTTATACTGTTCATTGAGTACTTGATACTAAAAATTTCATTAGCCAATGGAACTTAACGATCCGGTAATGATGATTAAAAACTGTAGCCGAAGTAGTCGAACACCTACTGAAAAAAGTCATTTTGACAGTTTCACTATTAACTGAAGAGATATCGTTTAATGGCACAATAATTGATATTCGGTTGGTACATAATGATAACGTTGATGCCTAATATGCTACTGTAGAAAAGTAAAAATTAAAATATTACTGTAACTAGAAACAAAAAATAGATTGCATTGCACCAAAAGACATCTCGGTTGAAAGGGGAAATTCTTGTTCCACAGGGATACCTACGGGTGATGGGAAAGGCTCAAACAGTTACTCTCACCTCTTTTCCTTGGAGTTCTTCTCGGTACTCGAAACTTGCACGATACGTCGCACACAAAACAAACAAACCTCAGCCCAACATTTTTTCTCCCTTCCACTTCCCTCAATACAAACGGGTGTCACTTCTGTTCCTTGCTTCGGTCATAGATACCTGGCCTACACTCACACGACAGCGCAGCGCAGTAAAAATTTTTTCTCCAGCCCTTCTACCCGCGACCAGCCTAATTAGCCCATTCATTCGCCGGATCGTGAGTGCGTACACGCAACCCACAAAATAAGCGCAAGTGTGTGACGGAGAGCAGGATGTGTAACGTCACCACGGCCCTGCTGAGATGGACATTTGTAAAAAAAAAGGGGAGGGATCAGTTTCAAAGCAAAGCCATGTGAGCGTGCATTATATACGCGCGTGTGACAACTTGGCCTCTTCTCCACGTAAGCGGGTGATTGTTGCGTCGAGGAAGTTCCTGTTGCCCCGATCCTTGGAACCCTTGTCAAAATACGCGCGCGAATTATTACGCCTCTCTCCCTTCCTTCTCCCCCTTTGTGGCCCATCACTCTTTTCTGATTGATTTGTACTGTTGTAAAATGAGGCAAGGAATTTTTTGGATTCTGCTCTCGTGTGGATTCGCGGAAGAGTTGGCGATTGTGTTTAAGGAAGTTGGCTTTATGGTCTATAATTGCATTGGAAACTAATGTGTTTTGTTACTCTTCACCATTGTTGTTCGTGTGAGAATCGACATTCGGATCTCTGTAACTATAAGGTATTTTTTATTTTATTCGTTTCAAAATCAGGGATTTACATGGTAACAATAGAATAATAAAATCAAACATTTTTCCATATTTTCTACTATTTTTCTATTGAAGTATACAAACTATTGTAAATCAATTCCCAGTAGTTTAATTCGGTCTAATACTAGAGCCCCATCAAGATCAAAACGGAATTTTGATAAAACTGTGCGAAATTATTTTACAACGCATTATTTCTGAAATATGGAGTCCTTATTAAACCCTATCTACAAGGACAACAAAGATAAAAGTAAATCTTCTTACGGGGACTTTATCAGCCTACTTAACTTTCTACCTATCACAAAGTGACATTGATTCCTCCAATTTCATGATCCTTCCAGTTTGATGGATTAATTTTACATTTTTCATCACATAACAATCCCACTGTTAAAACTAATCGAATGAATCGAAAAACCAAACGAATTACCAAAAGAAACTGCCATTCTCTAGTCCAAAGGATCCCAAAGCCCAGCTATTAAATTTCCTTTCGCTAGTGCGATGTAAAAATTTCCTCAACGACCATCAGCCGAGGCATATTTACATTTTCCTCAGCCATCAATCAACACACCTCCTGGTACAACGACAAGTGCTGAATTACCCCTATGATCCCCCAACCATTGACGTTCACGGACAGTCTACTTCTTCCTCGACATTTCACGTCAATCCCACACGGGCTCGGGTTGCCCGTCATTTTCCACGAAGCTTCGCTAACAAGCTTATTCATAAACCATCGGACAAACCAATCACCATTTCAAATCTCCCTGTTAACGAAGTGCATGCAAAAACGTAACTACACAGTAGCCCCTTGCACACCCGGTCGTGGAAGCAGCGTCTTTTATCTCCGTCTTAATTCCGCGCGGTACAGGTACATACTACACAGGAAGTGAGGGTGAAACAACTGATGGACACAGTAATATGGTAATCCTTCGCCCCAAACTTCGTTTGTGCGTATGCTTGGTTGTCTACGTTCGCGAGGAATTAGGGAAAAAAGACGCCATCTTCTGTGATGCCACGTGTCCCAGTGGTTGGTTCAGGGGCACTCGGTGTCTCGGCACATTAATTGACAAAAAGGGGACGCCGGTATGTCGTTCTCCTTCATGTGCAGCTTCAAAGGGGACGACGCATTGCGTTGCATACACATGTATTTGCATATGTACACGCATACCCATACTTACGTACAACTCGCCCTTTCTCGAGAATCTCGGTATGTATGTGCGCGCACGGGCAAATAAAGAGACTGTGCAAATCGATGCGTACAAGGTTGCAGTGCTTCGTAGTGTTAGTAGGGGGGGGGGGAGAAAAAGGAGGCGGGTGCGCGGTGTTGCGTATACGTGAAAACGAAATCGCACCTCGACTCTTTTTTTTTTTTTTTAATGGGACGCTTCGTTGCATTAAAAGCCAAGGGAGAGAGGGAATGACTGGTTACGGCGAGCTCTTCGACCCTGACGATTGCGACGACGAATTCCAAATTGAGTAATTACGCCTCGCCCGAAATGAGGGAGATGGGAAGGCGCAGAGTGCAGTTCTGTAGTCTTGAATGTATGAGATATCGAACTGGTATACCTACCAACTGTGAGGGAAATCAGAATTTCGAGTGTGTACACGTTCGCGCGCTTCTTTTGTCGTACTTTGCATAATACACGCGCGTGTGGGGATGTGGAATTGTTTCTTGCTCGGGATTTGGCTTGTTTCGTATTTAGCGGAGGTAACGAGCGAATGTGCGGATTGAGAGATCAAGGTGGCGTTGTACGGGGTTCTGGCAAATTGGGGACCTCTTGCGTTGTTTACGTGGAATATATTGCATAACTTTTTTTCAGTTTCTGGTTCATGATAATGATTTAGGAAAATGCAGAGTTTACGAGATGGTGACGAGACTGTACGCAATTTATTGGAGGGATAATGTTCTGAAATTGTTAGACTTAACATTTCAACGAATCATCGAGTAATTGAGAATTGTAATGTATGGAGTAAGTTATGAATCTTACCAGTAAGTGGTATACATATTTGCTTTAGGATCTTATATTTCATTCCAAAAAATTATCGTATAATGTATTATTACTACTTGATCATAAAAGATTAGTCCAACCCAATGGACTCAATCAATTTACTGAGAATCGGAAATGTTTGAAAAAAAAATTTATGTCATATATTTGTT